GTGGGAGGCCGCCACAGGGGCGGCTCAGCCTGAGGGCTGCCTGCATGGCCCAGCACAGGGGGCCTGGCTCCCCACCCACGGGGTGAAGTGAGTGAGGGTCCAGGTTGGCCTGCCTGGAGCCAGTAATTGCCCCATGCCACCCTCACTTTGCGTTGGCCTTTTCATCTCATCTCAGCCACTACTGGGCTGTGTAACCTCTGGCGTCCCTCCCTGCGCCTCAGTTTCCTCTTCTGTAAAATGAAGGGACTTAACTGTATCAGCAGTTTTTCCCTTGGGGTCCTGAGACAGGGCATCGGGGGCATCCGCGGGCAGCTCGAAATTTAGCAAAGCATTGTGCGTGTGCGTGGAGGGACAAACACCCAAGAGAGCATCTTTCCGGGAAGATTCTTGAAGGGGTCCATGGCACTTCGGAACCCTTTGAACGCCGAGGTTGTGCCAACACTTACACGCGTGGGTCCCCTCTCCTCCATCCCAGAGCAGCCTGTAGCTTGTGGGGAGCCCCTGGACGATGCACACACTCACCTGGGTCCGGGTCTACGAGTAAAGACATCAAGGAGAACTGCAAAAAAGCAAAAACGAAAACAGAAAACCAACACAGGGCTGAGCAAGGTTGAGTCTGCTGGCTGGCTGGGTGCCTCCCCGAGCTCCTGCCAGCTGAGAGGAGCTTCTCCCAGGGTCACATATCAGGATCAGGAGCGCTGGGTGCTTTCGGATGGCTGTAGCTGGGACGGGTTAGAGGGAGGGGGCGGGGCCTCTTTGAAGACGCCCCCTCCTCCCCTTCTTCCCGTGCCCGTTGAGGATTCTCCTTGGTAGGGACTCGGTGCTTGTGCCTACCCGGGCTCAGGCTGTGGCATGGCTGCCCAGGTATTGACAACCATGTCCCTGACCGTGATGAACACGTACGGAGCCTCTCCTCTCTGCCTGATCGTGCGTTGCTGCATTTCATTCCTATAACGGCCCTATGAGGAGGCTTCTATTAGCCCATGTACAGACGAGAATATTGAGGCTCACAGGTCACACAGCTGTGGTCAGATTCGGATTCACACTCCAGTCTGGGGGAGCCTTGGGTGACAGCTCCTTGGACGGGGGATGGACAGATGCTTAAAACTCTCCAGTGCCTTCTCATAGTTCTTGGAAGAAAACACAAGCACCTGCCACAACCTATAATCCTCCGGCCATACCCTTCCCGTCCACTGCCCAGTACTAATCCCCAGCCACACCCGGGTTCAAACTGGTGCTGGCCAAGGTCCTCCCACCTCAGGGCCTTTGCACCTGCTCTTACTTCTATGTGGAAGGCTCTCTCCCGTGACCATTGCTAGGTCTTAGCTTAAATGTCATTTTCTCCAGGAGGCCTTCCCCAGCTCGCCGTGGGTGTGACACGCCCCCCACACACTGTCTTGTCATTATACCCATTCATTTCCTCCATAGTTCTTCTGCCATGCCGCTCTTGTCTATTTGCATGGTATCTATTTCTTACATTGACTCTGCCCTCCAGAAAGGCAAAGATCTCGTCTGTTTCATCACTGATGTATTACCCCATACGGAGAGTAGGCACATGACAGCCCCGAAAAAGTTTTTGTTGAATAAATAAACAGTCTTATGAACAATTCCTTTTAGAGCACAGTACTTGTCGGAAGAAGAAAGTTTTATTCATTTAAGAGCTGGAAATATATTCTTTTACTTAAGTCGAGGGTAAGCAAACTAAGGCCCTTGGGGCCAAACCCAGAGGTGTCGTTTTATAAACACAATTTTTTTTAAGTTTGTTTGTTTGAGAGAGATGGAGACAGTGTGAGTGGGGGAGGGGCAGAGAGAGAGAGAGGATCCCACGCAGGCTCCGGGCACAGAGCTCGGTCTCATGAAACCGAGAGATAATGACCTGAGCCAAAACTAAGAGTGGGACGCTCAATGGCAAACAGAGTCTCGTTGGAACACAGCCATGCCTGTTTTTAAGTGTTGTCTTCGACTGCTTTTGTGCCACAACGGCAAAGGCGTCGTGATAGAGACCATACAGCTCCAGATATTTCCTATCTGGCCCTTTCCAGGCGAAGCTTGCCGACCTCTGATTTGGAAAAGGAGGGCTCTGTCACCCGCACAGTTCTCCCTTTTGGGTCTTGGCCACCAGAAGACACTGGTCAATGCGATCATTTTCCCAGCACTCGTATCAACCCGGGGAGTGTGGTATACTTTCCTCCTCTCCCCTCAGCAGAGGTTTGAATTTTCTGTTTGACTGTAGGCCCCCTTAACCGTTTTGGGAACTAGGCAGATGATACATTGGAAAGGACAGGTAAGGCGCACCTGGGTGGCTCAGCCGGCGAAGCGTCCGACTCTTGATTTTGGCTGAGATCACGGTCTCGTGGTTTGTGAGATAGAGCCCCACATCGGGCTTTGCGCTGAGCGTGCAGCCTGATGAAGATTCTCTCTCTCTCTCTCTCTCTCTCTCTCTCTCTGCCCCTCCCCCACTCACGCACGTGTGCGCGTGCGCTCTCTCTCAAAATAAAGAAATAAACTTTAAAAAAAAAAAAAAGAAGAGGCAGGTTAAAAAAAAGAATGCACCGTGACTTGAGGTACCGAGGGCGCAGTATCCACAGTGGAATTCTTGACAAAAATGCTTCTCCCGAGTCTACTCACGAGAAGCACGACAGACGCAGATTGTGGCCGTTCAACGGAACAACTAGCCGAGGCCCTGCAAAAATGGCAGTGCCGTGAAAGACAAAGAAGGTGGGAAGGCTGTTCTTTACTAAGTGAGAGTAAAGAGACGTGACAACCCAAGGCCATGAGAGGTCCTGGATTTAAAAAAAGAAAAAAGAAGCCGTAAAGGACATTGTTGGGGCAATCGGGAAACTGGAGTGTAGACTGATGTTAGAGAATCTTATTGTGAGCCTTATTCTTCCCACTCTTCTGTAGGTTTGGCAAATTGTGACATACACCGCTGGGGAGGGGATGGCATGCAGAGAGGAAGAGTGGCCATTTGCTGTCTGGACGGGGCCCACGCCTGCTTAATTGCCTCAGGGTCATCCGGCCTGGTTTCTGCAAAGAATGACATGGGGCGGGGGCGGGGTATCTTGTTTGGGAAGGGGGTTGATAGTGGGGAGCCTGACGGAGAAAGGGCGGGTTCAGGTCTTAAGGGTGTTCCTGGGCTTCGGGACTTGAACGGGGTAGAAGAATCCGAAGGTGACTCCTCCAGGCTTGAGCACCAGGGCGGTAACCAAGGGAGGGCCGTGAGACGGCCCTGAGTGCAAATGTGACCCCTCCTGCCAACTCTGCGTCGATCCGGTCCTTCGCCCTGCATCACCTTCCCTCCACGGAGCTTGTCCGGAGGGCAGGGCCTGCCCCTCTCCCCATGCTCCCCCAGCCCAGAGGAGATAGCCCCTGAATTCTCCCATTTGCACTGAACAGTGTGGACCGTGCCTGGCCACGCTCAGCCTTCGAGAAGTGGGCAGGACAGGAGAGAGGACTTCAAGGAACATGGTTCCTCAGGGCCCAGCGTGGGCAAGGCCCTCTGACGCCTGGACCTGAGCCAGAACCCCAAATCTGAGCTCTGAGCCGGAGCGGGAGGGCCAGCCAAGTGCTGCGCTGCCCACAGCCAGCAGGTGGCAGACGTGCCCTTCCCAGGAGCTGAGCCCTCGCTCTCGGGAGAAACCAAACAAAACGCTGTACCTTTCTGGGGCCTGGGGGCCCTGCAGATCCCGCTGGCTCTCGGCGAATCTGAAGCAGCTGCCGCCCAGCGATGCAGCCTGGGCTGCGAGTCAGGGATCCAGACCAGGCCCACTCGTTTTGTGAGCCACTGGGTCCGCCTGCAGAGATAGGCTGCAGCGACATGTGGAGACCCACAGCCCAAACACAGGCTGGGTAGCTGGGGGACCATATGGGAGAGGCCAGGCCAGTAGCCAGTTATTTATGCCATAAGTCTGGATCCTGAAACTAACCTGGGTGATGGGGGTGGAGGAATGGGGAGGCACAATGTTTCATCCCATTCTGGCGTTCAGTCTTTCCACGGAGACACTTAAAACGATACAACTCCTACTCCTGGGACTTGCAAACGCAAGGAGGAAGACCACGAAAGCAAAAGAATAAGAAGGGGGCGGGGGAGGAGGAGACAACCGTGGTCTCAGTTGGCATACATCAAGAGCTGACAGTGTGCCAAGGACTGTGCTCGATATTTTACATGCATTCCGTCTCGTTTGCGGCACACGATGCTTGATCATGGAGGTACTATAACTGTGTCTATTTCAGAAGTGAGCAAACCGGTTCCCAGAGGTGAGGATGCCCACAGTAACTCAGCTAGTAAATTGCTGGAGCCAGGATAGAATGGAGCCAGTCTTCCACCGGAGCCCTTGCCCTTAACCTCCGTCGCTATGAGGGCTGAGGAGAGCGTGGCAATCGTACGCTTTAACGGAAGAATGGAGGAGAAAGAAACAGAAGCACTACCGAATTCTACAAGAGGCAGGTTGTGAAATCAGACCTCTGTCCTTGGAAAGCTTTATGAAAGGCCTGTCCGGGCTGGCCCAGGCCTGGGAGGACAGAGAGAGGACTGCTGGGCACCAGCGACAGCTGTGGAAGGTACAAAAGTCAGCTCGAGCCTCGGCCAGGCCACGGTGGCCAACGCATCTCAACAAACATCTGCACTCAGATCAGGGGGGTGTGCAAGCCGCTGCCTCCTTCTTTTACCGCTTCAGTTCCTTGTCTCAACAGGGATAAAATAGCAGCTTCTAGTATCTTCTAGTGTCTTCTAGGCTAAGGTTTGTTAGGGGGAAAGACAGGGAGGGCAGAGAGAAGGATATTGTCTCTGAGTCTTACTGATTTACAGCGTAATCTCCCCGGGGGTGAAGAGCATGGGAGTCTAATCCATTTTGTCCTCTCTTTAATCGAGTTTAAGCTTTTTCGAGATTTCATCTTTAATCTAGATTATTGCAGCTCAGGTTCTTCCTCTGCCTTTCAGAATTCTAAATCTTCTGGACAACAAGAAGGCAGAGGCCAGTCTGAGTTGGCGAATCCCAGGAATTAGCTGGTGGAAAATGTTCTCAGAGGATTGGGACGCAGAAGAGGGGAGATGTGGTGCAAGACCTGTCCTCTGGGGCCAGAAGCTTGGCTTAGCATGAACCAACCAACAATAGAAAATTGGGACTCTAGGGCCACCTGGGTGGCTCAGCCGGTGAAGTGTCCAACTCTTGATGTCGGCTCAGGTCATGATCTCAAGATTTGTGGGATGGAGCCCCACCCTGTGTTGAGCTCTGCGATGATGATGTGGAGGCTGCTGCAGATTTTCTCTCTCTCTCTCCCTCTTTCTCTGCCCCCCCCACCCCTCCATGCGCACTCCGTCTCTCTCAAAATAAATAAGCTTAAAGAAAGATTGGGACTCTAATCCCTCCATCCCTTCCTCCTTGGATGTTCTACCATGAGCTGGTTGTGGATCAACACGGAGAAGCCGCGTTATTCCCAAGGGCAGTTGGGTGGGAGATAACTCTGCCCCGTGACCAAGTGAAGCTGAAGTCACTGGCCTAAAAGGGTGGGCCAAAGACAAGAGTGCAGCGTTCAGCAGGCCAGTCCTCACTGTTGGAC